TTTTGGGTATGGAAAGTCACCTAAGAAAAAAAATAGAATATCTCAACTATAAGAAAGTTTGAATGAGGGAGGAGAAAGAAAAGAAACGGCTGTAAAAAGTCCAACTTCTATATTAGAAGAGGGGCACTAATTTAAGTAGGAAAAGTCACCTACATAAAATAGCGGAATGCCTTAGCTATAAGAAGATAGCCAGAGGAGAAGATAGTGGAAGGAAAAAAATATCCTTTTATACAGAAAAGGATCACTAAATTTATGTAGGGAAAGTCACCTACGAAAAATAATGAAAAACCTCTAGAGTAAGAAGAAAAATAGGAGAGAAAGAACAAGAAAAGCTAAGAAAATTTCAACTTTTATACTAGAGGAGGGGCGCTGATTTAAGTAGGGAAAGTCACCTACATAAAATAATATAATTCGTCGATCGTAAGAAAGTTAGAGGGAGAAGAGAAGGAGCAGTTTTCTCCCTAAACTAAGGGGGTATTTATAACTTTTTTTAGAAAAGTATAAGCTTCAAGAGTATTTTAGAAATTTTCAAAATTTTTTGGAGTTTTTTAGAATTTTTTAAATTTTTTGAATTTTTTTTGGAATTTAAAAAAAAAATTTAAAAAATCGCAGGATCTAACTGCGCGCCCATTTGGGGCGCACCTATTCGTACATGGAGAGCAGGGCCGACCGGCTCTGCCGCTTATGCTTATCCGGGCAAAAGTTTTTGCGAGGACGGTCCAAATCAGACATTTTGAGGTCCCCGACACATTTTTCAATTTTCTGGTTTCAATTTTTATATTTTCAAAGCTCAACGAGGCCTTTATGATCAAGTTTGAGAAAATTTATAATTTTGAAATGTAAATGTTTTATGATTCGGCCAATGTAAAATATCGAAATGAGTATTTTCAGACTTCTGGAGCTTTGATATCCAAAAATAGGGGGACAACTGATATATCATTGAAAATTATCTTGATCGAACACAAATCTCGAGGCAAAAATCAAGTTGGAAACTTCAAAAATTAAATTTGGGATTATCTGTACTCCAATTTCAGCAAACTTATCATCGAACTGAGCGTCTCAGAAATATGAATCTAATGACACCAAATTCAACTCAATCCGAGCCAAAATATGTCTGAATTGAAGACCTGAACCATTGTTGGCAGATTAAAACCACAATTTGGATTATCAAGTGGTTTCCAAACATGACATGCTCATTTATCGAATCGAGCGGCTCGACGAGACAAATCAAATAAGCCCAAGATTACTAAATTCTAATATCATGAAGACCTTCAAATGTCTGATGAACAGTCCATAATCAAGGGGTTCAATATCGTACGTCTATTCAAATCACGCTCAATTTACCCCCAATATTTCTCTTATTTACTAGCCATGTCATCCTCAGAAAACTATAAATAACCCCTCATTTCTCTTAAGAGGGGACCCAAGCAAGAAGAAGAAGAGAAGAAGAAAAGAAGAGAAGAAGAAGAAGAGAAGGGAAGGAGGGAAGAAACTTATCATCGACTAACGTCGGGATTCTGCTCGACTTCCATGGTACGCCAGAATTCTTCCCGACTTCCACGGGACGTCGGACTTCTGCCTGACTTCCAGGGGACATCAGAATTCTACCCGACATCCATGGTATGCCGGAGTTCAGCCCAACTTTCAAGTGATGCCGAAACTCATACAGGAAATTTACTCATTACCGGTGGTTTATTCCAACGATTACTACTAGTTTTCCGGCAGTTTGGTAAAAAACTGGCGGCTTCACGACGGTTAAAAAACTGCCTAAAAAATGGCACCGGAAACCTTTTCCAACGGTTTATTTCACCGATAGTTTTTCGACGGTTAATACCACCGGTTAGCTTACGGCGATCTAAGCGATGGTGACCGCCAGTTTTATTACCATCGACGTACCTGTCGGTCAACCTCTGGCTAGCTATTTCTCCAAAGACATCAAAATTCTGTTTAATTTCTAAGTAAATCTAGAGTTTTGCCCGAATATCATCTTACGTCGGAGTTCTCCCCAGCTGCCGATTGACGTCGGACTTCTACCTGATGCCGGAACTCTGCTCATCGCCAGATTTCCACCTAACGTCGGACTTTTGCCCGTTGTCGTATTTTTGCCAGACATTTATCCGATGTTGGATTTCTTTCCATTTTTGGACATCTACCTAACACCATCCTTTTGACCTCCGTCAGTAAACAACAATCCTTCAGACCTTTATCGGCCGCTGATTACGGTCCTTATGACTAGGGATGTCAATTTTTGACCCGACCCAAAACCCAACCCGAACTCGACTAAAAAAAATTCGGGTTCGGGTCAACCCGTTTATGAAACGGGTTGGGTTTGGGTTCAATGATTTGATCCATTTCAAAAATTCGGTCATGTTCGGGTTGACCCGGGAACTCGAAAATGACCCGAAATTGGTCCTTTCCCAACTGCTTGGTTGCCCGATGCTTCAAGTAGCATCGCTTTGCTGTTTGGGAATCGTGACGCGTTCCAGGCTTCCAGCGCTCCATTGCCCCCTTTGGGTTCGCCGTTTGCGGTTCGAATGCCAGCGCGACAAGTTCTGCTTCAACTTCATCCTCGTTTAATTGCGTCACTTCACTTTGCCGCTCGCATGTCTTGGTGCCGCTGCCGCTGCTCGCTTGCTACGACTGCCGGTTGCCGCTTTGAGTTTAATTAACTAACTGGGTCGGGCCGTGTCAACCTGAAAATCCGCTCGGGTCGGGTCAGGGTTGAGATAACCGACCCGTTTACAAAAATGGGTCGGATTTGGGTTGACCTGTTTAGAACTGGGTCAACTCGGGTTCGACTCGATCCCGACTCATTGACATTAATTGACACCCCTAGTTCCGAATGACGTCGCCCACTGACTATGTTCCTTCTGACCTCTATTGCCCACCGACTACGATCCTTTTCGCTTACGTCGCCCACCGATTGCAGTCCTTCCGACCTCAGTCGCCCGCCGACTATAGTCCTTCTGGCTTACGTCGCCCACCGACTGTAGTCCTGCCAACCTCCGTCGCCCGCCGATTACGATCCTTCCTACTTACATCGCTCACCGACTACAGTCATTCCGACTAAACACACATCAACAGTGATTCTCTGTATTCTCACCATGTAATGAACTCTATATGATGTACATTAATCTAAGACCTTCTCCCAAAGAAGGTCCTCATTTGTAATCAACTTTAAATAATAGTGGATTCATTCATATTGGGCTAGGCCTCATGGTTTTTTCCCCTTTTTCAAGGGTTTTCCACGTAAAATTCTTGGTGTCTCTAGTGAATGATGCACCCTCTCTCTTTATCTGTATGCGTGCTGGATCTTTATTCAATGCTAAGACACTATACTTCATTTTTTTCTACCACCGCGAATACTCCAAGACGCAACAAAGGACATGCATCTTCATACTGATATTAACATTTATAATATTTTTTATGTGGATCTTGCAAGAAATATAAGATATTTCTTGATGTAAATTTATTATTAATGTGGAGCTTGCAAGCCATGCTAAATATACTAATATATTTTAAAAAATTTAGTACTAACTAGTGAAATATATTATTAATTAATTATATTATATTATGTTTTTAATAATTAATTAATGAAAATTTTATATTTTAATATTCTAAGATTTAAAATTTTTATTTTTATGATTAATTTTATTTTTATCATTTCAAGGATAAATTCATATTCATAGCGAATAAAAGTAACGATATCAAAAATACATTCTAAGTGTCAAAAAATACATTCTCAAATTTCTCCGTTGAAATTTTAAATTGTGATTATCGAATAAAAGAAAAGAAATGTTCTATTAAACTAGCTCTTTTTAATTATGAAGATTTAATAAAAAACCATCAAACATATCCCCTACTCTCCCCATTCATCTTATTCGCCTCTCATTATATCTATGTAATTTTTCTTTCATCTTCTCTTCAAATTTTAAATTGAATCGAGTATGAGGTCAATTCTTAAAACTTGAAGTTGAATTTATAATATCCAAGAGCTCTCGTTTATTCTCTATTGGACTTCTTATACAAAATATTATTTTAAGTTTATTATTTTGACAAATTTAAAACCTAATATAATATTTTTATTGATAAATAATTATTTTTTGTTATGTTTCAGTGATTTTGAATGATATTTCATGAACTTAATTGGTTTAATAATTTTGAAGCAATACAAGCCAAATTTTTTGGTCTCAAATTGAAATAAAAAATTTTGGATTGTTATGTATAAATATTATCTAAACTTAATTATTTTCAACAGTATAAAAATAGTTTTAGAAGCATAAAATCAATATATAAATTTTACTCATATTTAGAATTTATTTATTTGTATTATGTTGTTTTCTTTTAATTCTTCTTTAACCTCAATTTTATTTTAGCCATCACAATTTTATAACATGTTTTATGAATTTTGCTCTATGACTTTCCATCATTTTGGAAATATCAATCTTTCTTTATTTCATAATTTCTTTAACTCAATCGGATTTAATATTTTAAAATAATATTTGATTGTTGAAACACATATATCAATATATTTTGATAGAACCTAACAAAATAACAATTTATGCTTAAGCTCCCTCATAAGATTGTTAGCAATATTTTCAATATATTTTAATAGAGCCTAACAAAATAATAACTTATGCTTAAGCTCCCTCATAAGGTTGTTAGCAATATTTTTAACATTAAAGTCATGCTTTTTTTTTTAATTATATTATATTCAATATTTATATTTTTTGCATATTACTTCAATAATAATATAAGTCTTAATGATAAAATTTTAAATATTTTTATTAAAATTTTAGGTATGTTATAGATAGATTGCAATTTTTATCAAGAGCGTGCTATTCTTATAATAATTATATCATCTTTTCATTTATTGATATGCTTTATAATAAAGATACCTGTTTAACACCTGTAATAAGTACTTACCTGTATACGGTCTTATATTCTAGTTGCTTCTTGTACATCTATATATAACAATACTCTGTATCTTTATACATTGAATAAGATTTTAGTTTCATCCTGGCTCCAGTTTTCATGGTATCAGAGCCAGCTCCGTTTTCCTTTCTTCTTCTTCCTCGTAACTTCTCCTTCTTGACTCTACGTATCCGTCATCATGGAAGCATCCTTCACCTCTCAGACAACCGATCCGAAAGAAAATCAGCTGGATTCCAGCTGCGTCATTCCTACTTCTCTCAAATTTGTGATATCAAATATCAAAATCGTCGTGCCTACTCAACTATCCTTCGACAACTATGCGGTATGGCGCTCCCAAATACTCAAACTTCTGAATGCAAACGGGTTTTCTTCCTTTCTTCTTCCGTCTGCATCTCCTCCACCTAGGTTTACAGATCTTTCGGATGGCTCTCAAAAACCAAATCTAAAATACCAAGAATGGTGTCTAGTAGATCAAAATCTGGCTGCAGCGTTGTGTTCTACAATTTCACCAGTTCTCTTACCCTATGTTATTCATCTTGAATCAACATCGGCGATCTGGGCAACCATAGAGCGCCAACTTCAATCTTCAAATAGGTCGCGTGTCATTCAACTTCGCAATGAGCTTCACAATATTCAGATAAAAAATCAAATGATGGTCCAATATCTTACTCAAATCAAGAACATCGTTGATAACATCAATGCGGTTGGAGCAGTTCTTGATCAAGAAGACATAATACTGTACACATTGAACGGTCTTCCATCTTCTTACAACGCGTTCAAGACCTCCATTCGTACTATGCTTCATCCGATTGATCTGGACAACCTATACTCGTTGCTGATTAGCGAAGAAATAAATTTGCAAGCCAATTCGATACAACAAGTTACCATCACTGAATCATCGACTGCTCTCTATACCCAGCATGGTCGGGGCCGACGAAGTCGTGGACGTTCTTACTCTCAAAATTCAAGAACGAATAATGCCTCCAGCATACAATGTCAGATTTCTAATAAAAAGGGTCATTCGACTAACAATTGTTGGCACAGATCCAATCTGACGATCAATCCTCCAGAAAATCAAACCAATAACTCCAGAACTCTGGTGGCAACGACGGACCCAGGAAATCAAGATTAGTACTTGGATTCGGGTGCGTCAGCACATCTTACCAATTCACTGGACAATTTGTCTCAAGTAAGCTCATATACTAGCAATGACAATATTGTTGTAGGTGATGGCAAATCTCTATCCATTGCTCACTCCGGCAATGGAATTCTGCCCACACCTAATCGTAAGCTCGCTCTTAACTCTCTTTTACATGTTCTGCATTTATCACATAATCTGTTATCAATTTCAAATCTAACCAGAGACAACAATGTCTTTGTATATTTTGATTCTAACGGTTTTATGATTAAGGATTTGAGGACAAATCAACATCTTATGTCGGGACCAAGTAGACGTGGATTATACTCGATTCGATCTGCAGGTTCTCCGGCTGCTATCAAGGCTCTCACTGCTAACTAGCAAGCTTCATCCATTTGGCATCAACGACTCGGGCATCCACATAGCCAAATACTTCATATGATTTTTTATTCCAATAAATTCTTGAATATACACAAGAACTTTTTTTTTTTGTGTAAAATGTAAGGCCGCTAAAGGCCACAAACTACCATTTATGACACATACTGAAAAATCTCGCTTTCCTTTACAAATTATTCACTCTGATGTTTGGGGGCCATCCCCTGTGCCATCTCATCAAGGTTTTTCATATTATGTTGTCTTTATAGATGATTTCTCTAAATTTACTTTGGTATTTCAGATGCGTAACAGATCAGATGTTTTCTCTATCTTTTGCACTTTTAAATGCTTTGTTGAGAAACAAACGAATTGTCAGATTAAATGCTTACGGTCCGATGGTGGTAAAGAATATATCAACTCTAACTTTAGCAGTTTTCTTACGCAGCACGGCATTCAACAACAAACTTCTTGCCCATATACGCCAGAACAGAATGGGTCAGCAGAAAGAAAACATAGGCACTTGATTGAGACAACCCATACTCTGCTTCACAGCGCATCTCTTCCGTACCCCTTTTGGCCAGATGCGGTTCTCACAGCGTCATATCTGATCAATCGTTTACCCTCATGCACAAACAATCTCACATCTCCCATCCATATGCTTTTTAACAAACAACCTGATTACAAGTTTCTCAAAGTCTATGGATGTGCCTGTTTTCCATGGATTCCACCGGTTCAACGACACAAACTGGAACCACATTCTAGATCTTGTGTATTCGTAGGATATTCGTCCATCTCTAAGGGATATAAATGTTTTGATCCAATCACTAACAAAGTTTTTATTTCTCGTCACGTTGTTTTTGACGAAATCACATTTTTGTTTAAACAAATAAACTCAAACTCTACACAATCTGTTTCTCAGTTTATTCCACCTGCACTTCTAGTGCCTAATCCTCAACGTCTCCCTCCCAACAACAACAGGTCAATACAAACCATTTCACGGGTTAACAACACTCAGACTTCTACTCGGAATAACACCACTCAGCCTGCTACTTAGTCGTTCTCATCCAATTCTATCTCTCCTTTGTCAGTAACTGATGTGTCTACTGATACAACCAAAGCTAGCCATCAGGCTAATCCAAAGATGGCATCCAAACATCACATGACAACTAGAACAAAAATTGGTAATCTCAAACCTATTCAAAGACTGAATCTGTTTCATATGCAGGTCAAGCCTAATAACAAACATTCAGTGGATCCGACAACATATCAAGAAGCCAAAATCATCACTGGAGGAAAGCAATGGCGAAAGAATTCTACGCACTACAAAAATAGGGCACATGGGACCTAGTACCATCTCCCGTAAACACACCCATACTCGGCAGTCGATGGACTTTTCGAACCAAATATCACTCAGATGGTACAGTAGCCCCCTTCAAAGAACAACTGGTAGCACAAGGAAATAACCAACAATATGGCATCAACTACCTTGAAACTTTCAGCCCTGTAGCTAAGTTTCCTACTATTCGCACTTTTCTTACTATTGCTATTAATAACAACTGGCCTGTACATCAGTTTGATATTACTAATGCTTTTTTACACGGCACTCTTGATGAAACCATATTTATGAGACATCTTGATAAAACCATATTTATGAGACAACCAAAAGGATTTGAAGATAATACTAGGCCCAATCATGTTTGCAAACTTCAGAAAGCTATATATGGTCTTAAGCAGGCACCACGTTAGTGGTTTAACACGTTGTCTGGTTTCCTATGTTCCATTGGGTTTTATCCTGGCAAAGCTGATTCATCGTTATTTATATTTAACAAAAACAAAAGTCAATTATACACTGTTATCTATGTAGATTATATATTATTGACAGGTAATAATCCGCAAATGATTGCCACAATCACTGCTCTTCTTCATCAGAAATTCGATATGAAACACTTAGGATTAGCAAACAGCTTTCTGGGAATTCAGATCACCATGGCTCAAAACAAGATGTTTCTTTCTCAACACAAGTATGCAGCTTCTATACTTAACATGGCCGGTATGACCATGTGCAAAGATCTGGCTAACCCGTCCTGTGCCAAAATTCCTGAGCAAATTCCAACTGAAGTTCCGGTATCTGATTTCATCTGTACAAAAAAATCGTTGGATATTTACAATATCTAACGATAACACAACCGGATATATCATTTGCGGTCAACCTACTATGTCAATATATGCATAATCATACCTCATTACAATTTTATTTACTTTATCGTGTTTTACGCTACATTCACGGCACAATTTCGTTTGGTTTGCCTATATCTCAGGGTCCAATAGAGCTGCAATCATTTTCAGATGCGGATTGGGCTGGAGACAAAGAAACTAGACGGTCCACTTCTGGTTACTATACATTCTTCGGAAACACCCTTATCTCGTGGACTGTCAAGAAACAAAATACAGTAGCAAGATCATCTACCGAAGCAGAATATAGAGCCATTGCTACTGCCGTGTCAGATGTTATTTGGCTTAGGAGGTTGCTTCTTGACTTCAACATAAATCTCAAGGCACCAACCACTCTACATTGCGATAACACATCGGCTATTGCCCTTGCTAACAATCCGGTGTTTCAAGCAAGAACTAAACACATCGAAATTGATCATCACTTCATTAGGGATCACATCCAATCAAAAGTAGTCAACATATTTCCAATCTCTACCAAAGACCAGTTAGCAGATATCTTCACTAAACAGTTGTCGACTCCTCGATACCATCTTCTTCGTCACAAGCTTATTGTACAGCCTAGTCCATTAACTTGAGGGGGTGTAATAAAGATACCTGTTTAACACATGAAATAAGTACTTACCTGTATACGGTCTTATATTCTAGTTGCTTCCTGTACATCTATATATAACAATACTCTGTATCTTTATACATTGAATAAGATTTTAGTTTCATCCTGGCTCCAGTTTTCACTTTATATAAATAAAATTAATATTTTTTATTATCTTTGCTTTATGATTAGATATTGAATTTCATATCTTCTAAATAAACATATTACAAAAGAAAAAAAAAAGTCATGAGAATTCGACTAAATTTCTATTATGATTAATATTAAAGTCTTTAAATGTTTTTTGAGATTGATGCAATATAAATTATTTATATATTACACTCATGTAAAAGTACATCTAATTTCATTAAAATCAATTATAATTATTATTTTTTAGAATATTCTAAAACAAAGCTTTCACCATATTATCAAAATTGTATTAATACAATACTTATTATTATTATTTTATTAAAATCTTAAACACATTTGTTTTTAAATATAGGAATATAATTTTTATTACAATTACTTGTAATGTTAAAATTTATTATATATATATTATATAATCTTTATAAAAAATTAAATAATATTTATAATTTTATAGTATAACTTAATTATTAAATTTTATCGTGCAATTATACTAGTTATTACAAAACACAAAAGGTATTGGATGAATAATATTTTTTGTGAGGGGACAAAGCATTTAGCAGGCCAAAGTAGGCGTCTAAATCAAGATTTTATAACTTCATTTCAACCCTGAGATGAACGCTTTATTTCACAAATTTAATATAGCTGAAGTATAAGAATTAAAAAAATATAAAATATATTTAAAATCTTATGATATAATTTTAAATTTATATATATATTATATACATATATATATATATATATTATATCATATATATATATATATATATATATACTTATATATATACTATATATACATATATATATATATATAATAGGGCAAATTTTAGAAATGAGCATGCTTTAAAATGTCATTAAATAAGAGGAGCATAAATAGAAAAACTTTAAAAAAAGAGTAAATTCGCAGAAATAATTTGGCAATAGTCCTAAATACGAACAAATGATTCAGAAATTATTTTTAAAACTAATTATTTTAAAATTTAAATAATCATGATATTTTAAAACAATAGTTTTAATTTTTTTAGAGTAAGAAATTTATATTACATATTTTTAACTTTTTTATATAATATTTTTAAAGATTATTTTATTTATATTATATAAATATTAATTAAATTTTTTTTTGAATATAAAAAAATATTTACATCTCTCCCTTCCCAAAATAATTATTTAAATATTAAATATATATTCATTTGATTGTTATTTAATTATTTAAAAAAATTAAATATTTGTTTTGATTATTTAAAATATATATCGTTATATGTACTTTTTCCTCTCTCTCTTCCCTGCCACTTTCCCTCTCTTTCTCTATCCCCATCCTGTCCCTCCTCTC